GATGTGGGAAGCAGGGCCACCGGATTGCAGACTGGAGGGTCAAGCTGGATCCAAAGGGGGCGCAGAGAGAAGGGAGGAAACCTGAAAATTGCCCAGCCAAGCCTCGCGAAACCGCGCTAAAGACGGGAGAGGTTGTAGAGGTCGCCCCTTGGCAGGAGAAGAGCTGGGACCTCCGACCTTCCTTGAAGAGAGTGAATCCGACTCGGAAGACGTTTTCCTGGTAAGTCCAAATAAGGGCCCCATGACCATTCCAGTAAAATTAAGGGTACCCACTTCAGGGACCGAAGGGGAGATGTTAGCCTTGCTAGACTCTGGGTGCACGAGATGTGTAATCAACATGAAAGTGGCCGAGGAAATGGACATCAGACTGAGAACTTTAGAAACGCCCATAGCCTTTTGCCAATTAGATGGATCAGTGGCGGGGGTTTGCCCTGCACGCTTCATAACGGAACCCCTAGAGATGACCATGGGGGAGCATAAAGAGACTTTGTGTTTTGTGGCCCCTGGAATGGAGCAACCATTAATACTAGGATTGCCCTGGCTCCGCAAGTAGAATCCCCATGTGAACTGGAGGAAGGGGTCGTTACGCATACGCACCAATCAGTGACCGGAAGGGGAGGGGCCATCCCAACAGAGGCTTCAGAATCTGGTTGAGCTGGCCTCCACAGGCACTGAAAACTTGGAGGGGGAGGAAAAGATTCCGAAAGAATACTGGGACTTAAAAGAAGTGTTCAGCGAAAAGGCTTCAGATGAGCTTCCCCCTCATCGGACAACAGATTGTAGTATTGAAATTCTGCCGGGGTGACGCTCCCAAAACCGAAGCTATATTCGATGACACCATGGGAATTGGAAGAGCTGAGATCGTTTATCGATAAAAATTTGAAATGTGGTTTCATCCAACCCGCTAGACCTGGGGTAGTGGCCCCAGTGTTGTTCCGTGAAAAGAAAGATGGCTCCAAGCATTTGGTAGTGGACTATAGAAACCTAAACGTGATTTCAGTGGAAAATGTGTACCCCCTCCCCCTAATGAAGGATATGTTGGCCCACCCTGCTAAAGAGAAAATTTTCACGAAATTGGACTTGAGGGAAGCGTATTACCGAATCCGAATTAAAGAAAGGGGATGAGTGGAAAACCGCTTTTAACTGCCCGATGGGTTGTTTCCAGTTCAATGTTCTCCCTTTTGGCCTACAGGGGGCACCAGCCATATTCATGCAGATGATCAATCAGGTGCTACACGAACATTTATACAAGGGGTTTTTGGTTTATCTTGATGATATCCTTATCTACACAGAAACTCGGGATGAACATGTGAGACTGGTGCATTCAGTGCTACAGAAACTGTGAGCCACCAAATTATATGCTAAACTGTCCAAATGTGAGTTCCATCAAGAGAAAATCGACTACTTGGGGTATTGCATTTCGCACGAAGGCATTGAAATGGATCCAGAAAAAGTACGGGCTGTGTTCGAGTGGGCCCCACCGTGCACCCGAAAACAACTTCAAAGCTTCTTAGGATTTGCCAACTTTTACCGGCAATTCATCCCGTCTTTTGCTAAGATAGCAATGCCTATCACCAATCTCTTGAAAACCAAAGGGGAGGTGAAACCAAAGCCTAGCAAACCACTGGAGTGGTCCATGGAATGCCAAGGTGCCTTTGAAAAGCTGAAGCGACTGTTCGCTGCAGAACCAGTGCTAAAGCACCTGGACATGGATGCCCCATTCGTGTTCCAAGCCGATGCGAGTGATGTGGCAGTTGGAGCAGTCTTACTTCAGATCAATGAAAAGGGAACTCTACAACCCTGCGCCTACACCTCCCGTAAACTGACTGAAACCAAGAGGAGATGGGCCGTCTGGGAAAAAGAAGCTTTTGCAGTTCGCTGGGCTCTACTGACATGGAGACATTTCTTGGAAGGTGCAAAACACCCGTTTGAGGTCTGGACTGACCATAAGAATTTGGAGGCCTTAAAAACGCCGCAGAAACTGTCTCCTAAACAAGTTCAGTGGGCCCAGTATTTTAAGTGGTTCAACTTTTCATTGAAGTACATCCTGGGAGGGAGGAATTTTATGGTGGATGCTTTATCTAGACTGCCTCAATATAACAGTGTTCGTCAGGAAGTTATACGGCCGATTGTTTCAGCCAAACAGCTAGCCGCCACAGTGGAGCGCAAAAGAAGAAGCAAGAAGGGGATTTGTTAAGTGATCTGACAGCGCAATTAAAGGAAGCCCTAAAACTGGATGAGTGGTTTCTGGCACATTCAAATAACTGTACAGTTAGAGATGGTTTGGCCTGGATGGGAGTGAAACTGTATGTACCAGAGACATTGAGAAGCCAAATATTGCAACAGGCCCATGACTCCAAAGCAGCTGGTCACTTTGGATTCGTGAAGACCTTACACCTCCTTAAGCGACAGTTTTGGTGGCCTTCGTTGAAAAAGGACATTGAGACTTATGTGGCTAGCTGCTCAGTTTGCGTTTCAGCAAAAAGGCCTCCTGGTAAGCCAGCTGTGCTGTTACAAAATGTGGCCAGGCCAACAGCTCCTTGGAAGGAAATCTCCATGGACTTTATAGTAGAGTTACCCGAGAGCAATGGACACACGGTTATTTGGGTAGTAACCGATTTGTTTTCCAAACAAGCGCATTTCATACCTTGCTCTAAGATTCCCTCGGCAAAATCGTTGGCTAAACTATTTATACTACATATCTACAGACTGCATGGCATTCCTGAACGTATAAATTCTGACCGAGGGGTTCAATTCACCTCAAACTTTTGGAGGGAATTCCTGAAGTTAATAGGCTCCACCCAGGGCTTAAGCTCCACCCACCATCCCCAAACCAATGGGGCCTGTGAGAGAACTAACGCAGTGTTAGAACAATACCTCAGATGTTACTTAAATTATCAACAGGATAATTGGGCTGACTTATTGCCATTTGCCGAGGTGGCATACAACAATTCTGTCCATAGTAGTACTGGGTTCACCCCCTTTAAAGTGGCATTGGGACAAGACTTTGTACCCATACCTGAGCTTCCTCATGAAAGACCTAACTTCCAGTCGCTAGACGAATGGATATCCCAACTCCAACTTAACTGGCCAGTTGCCCATAAAGCCTTAGATAACGCACATCAATCTCATAAGAAGTTTGCAGATAAAAAGAGAACTCCACAGAAGACCTATCAAGTGATGACAAAGTTTTCCTGTCCACCAAATACTTACAAACCACTCAAAAGTCGAAGAAACTTGATCCTAAATATGTAGGTCCTTTCACGATTGAACGGATTGTGAATCCTGTGACAGTACAATTGACACTACCAAAAACTCTTCGATGAATTCATCCGGTTTTCCATATTAGTTTGTTGAAACCTGAACATACTTCTGGTTTGAGACCAACCCAGACTGATCCTCCTATACCATTGCTGATTGAAGGTGAACAACATTTTGAAGTTAAAGAAATTTTGGACTCTCGAAGGTAGAGGGGTCGTCTCCAATACCTCGTAGCTTGGAAACATTTCCCTTCATCCCAAGCTGAGTGGGTCAATGAGAAAGATGTTAGAGCCCCTAAGCTGATCAAAGACTTTCACACAAAATACCCCGACAAACCCTAGAAATGTGTTTGATTGGTAATCAGTATCTTTTATGTTTTTCTTTTTCTCTCTTGCAGGACTAACGTCTTTTTTCTAGGAGGGGGCGAATGTCAGCCTTCAAGATATTCTGCTACTGCTTTGCATCATTTGGCTGCCATAAAGTAATGGGGGGGGGAGGGGGGCATTGTCTGGGAAGAGAGCTGGAGGTGTTACATTCTTGTATTGTATAAATGGAGAATGGGGAGGGGGAGTATAAATTCCTGCTTTAGGTTTCTATTTGTCGCTTGGCTTTCTTTTCTCTGCGCAACTGCAAATCTTTATCAAAATATGCCAAGGTCAACAGACAGAGGCCTCATCACCACCTGAAGATGTCCACATGATCATATCCAGAACTTTTAATTGGAAGAATCTTTTGAACTTTGGGGGGTGGGAACAATTCCATCACTTTGTATATGTGATCTGCACGCCTAATTTCTCAGATTCAGAATTTTACCTGACACTACCACTTCAATTCTCAGTAAAAGATTTCTTTCCTCTAATCTATGAAGTCTAAGTATTTCTTTCTTGGATTTTGAATGGAGCACAGACTGACAAATATTGATATTGACTATAGTGCAGATTTTAAATTTCTATTGAGGTGAATGATGATTTCCATTGATAAATCAGAATGCAAAATGGAAAGCATTTAAAACTTGAATGTCAGAGTTAATTAAAGTCATAAATGAGATAAAGCCTCATTATAAAAGGGATTTTTTTTCAGCCAGTTAGGTCTGCTGCAAAATTCTTTCCACATTATCAAACCTGTAAAAGAAGATACTCCTGCACAGAGATCATGCCTATATCATTACTAATATTCCTACAAAACAGAGTACAATTTTCTGATTATTGCAGAAGTATCTTCACATAACCATTAACCTCAAAGTTATTTCCTAGGGGTATAGAGAATATAACAAACTTAAGTCTGCATTACTTTGCAACATGAACTTGCAGTCAGAAAAAAAAGTTATTGCTTTAAAATGAAATTTATATCTGGTAGTCACAATAGTCTCAACCAGCTTCAAAGCAATTGAGAAGTTAACAATGTAAGACCCTGTGCCTAAATACTAGTTATAAAGCTTTTCATAAAACCTTTAACACAAGACTAAACAAAAACTATTATAACATAACATGGTATTTACTCACTTGGTTAATTTAGAAAAATGTGGTTTTTTGTCAAACCCCACAAACACCCATACTTCCTTAATTTTTCTACTTTGAAAACAAGAAACCCTCTTAATTTGTTGCAGATCAGAAAAAGCTAAAAAAACCAAACACATTAGAATTATCTGCTTTTGCACTTCATATTTATTTTTCAACTAATTGGCAATTTACAATTAAGGAAAATACCAAACTACAGGGTTCATTACATCACAATTGGTTTTAACGACATGTACAAGTTTTTGCTACCATATTCTGATATTCTTTGTATACAATTGATTTATCAGCCTCCACCTTCAAAACACTCAAAGGACTGTAGTCAGCCGGAATGCAGGAAAGTTCAGGGACAGAAGAATCCAGTTTCTCCCGCATGAGGTTTTGAACTACTGCATGCCTTGGAGAACCATAGCGATGGCCAACAATTCTTGGACAGTCACCTTTGCAATAGTGAGGATTGTATCTATGTGGTGCAATTATCCATTTGTCCCAGTTCAGTTCACTGAATTCCAACCAAAAGCTGTGAAGCTCACATTCATTTTGAGGAAGAGAGAACTGTTTGTAATACTGACTTATGTTAAATATTGGAACTGGAGTGTTTTTCATTTTCCCATCTTCTCTTCGGTGACGAGGTGCTCTTCCCTGTTTAAGTCCTTTCCTGGCCTCTTCACTGGGAACTGTGAAAGGACCCTTGTTGAGACCAGATATTGTAAGTTTTTTTCTGAAAAAATTCCATCTGTGATAAGTGTGCTCACTAGTGTCAGCAGTATAGAGGAGAAGAAAAATGGATCTTTGTGCAATATTGAAGAAATCATATTCAGAGTTGGGAGAATGTTCATTTTTCAAGCAGATAAAATTCACAGCTATATGGAGGTTTCTTTTCTTGGTGACTATCCAAGGGTGAAGAATAGTGGTTACATCAATCTCAATCCATTTGCGTCTAAGTTCAAAATGCAGATTGAATACCATTGCATGTGGAACATCCATGCACACTTGACTGGTGGCACTACTTTTTTCCTCAACTATGATTTTGGAAACACAGGTAAGATTTGAAGCTGTGGACACAGACTCATCAAATAAGAGTAAAGCTGACTTGAGTAAATGCTCTGATGCAGTAACACAATCCAAGCTGAAGAACAGGTCTATTGAATGATTTCCTGCAAAGAAATTGAAGAAAAGAATGTTTAAATAAAGTAGCCCTGTCCTCCCAGTTTGCTTCTCTTAATCACTTTATACTGTAGCATATTTGCAAATGAAAGCAATTAATCTCAATAAGACTTTGATTAGGCATACACTTTTTCTCAGCAAATGACAAGGCAGCAGTCATTTTAGGGTGGCAGCCATTTTGAATACCCTTTTTTTTAAAAAAAAGCCTATCCGTATAAAGCTTTGGAGAAACAAAATGGCCACCACTATTGGCATTTGACTAAAAAAAGGTAATTTTCCAACTATAAGAAAATATATATTTTACACTATTAAAAGGGACCCCAAAGATGGATCCCATTCCATTTGTACATGGAATAACAAGCAAGACCATCCACATATTTAGACAAAGTGCAAAAAAATTAGCTAACCCAAAAGAAGTTCTCACATACCGTTAGTAATGGGATGCTTGCATTCAGCATGTGGTGACACAAGGCGAACAGTGTTGTAGAGATGCCTTTTGTTGGTCTTAAGAACACCTTCCTCAGTAGCAAACATTTTATACAGCTTTTTCATATATTTTACAGCTCGAGAATCTAGGGTTGGTCTTGAGACATCGCTTTCCAAGTCCTGGGGATCATGGCCAGACAGCAGCTTGAAAAGAGAAGCATGTGGGCCTTGGCCATTTTCTTTTAGAAGAACCAATGGAGATCTCTTGGAGGCCTGCACCTCTGAGAAAAGTAAGGGTGCAGAAGTCCCTTCATTTCTCAAACTAGGGGCACACAGGACCCCAAGAAAGAACCCGTCCAAGCAAAAACTGAAAAATAGTATCCCCAAAAGCTTCATGATGAGCATTAGCTGGGCAAAGTAACTATCTCCCCGCATAACAGAGGAAGCTCTCAAACAAAAAAAGAGGCAGCTCCTTCTAGCCTCTTAAATAAAGCTACACTAATTAGACACCTGATGGTGTCATTCTGTTTACTTCAGACTCCTCCCTTTGCAGGTGAATTAAGTTATGGCTCCTTTTCACCTGAAGTTTAGTAACATTAAAACCAGATTAACTCAAAGTAATTTGGAACATGTGGTGAAATGTATGCTGTAACTCTGTAACACTTTCCAGAAAGTAAGCCCACAGTTCAAAATAGGACTTCCTCATGGAAAGAGATTTAAGCTTGTGCTCAAGATTAGTTAGACCTGATTCTAAAACTACAGCTGTGCTTAACTTTATTGCCAGATAATAGAACCATTTAATTTGATAATCCTGTGCATGTCAAAGGCAGAGTAGTTCTTGTTTGGGATGTGCTTTTCACTGCATTGGCCTTTCAAATGAAGACAAGCATACAGAGAATAATGAACTCCTGGGGGGTAGAAAGGGTCATTATTATTACTGTATAACTTGTTTTATTTTCTGTTAAGATGAATAAAATGAACAGGCTATTCTATTTTTTTTATCTCTACAGTTTTAAGAATGATAATAATGATTCAGTATAAAACAACTTTTCTTGCTTAAGGCACAATGAATGTCAAGATAATTTCATTAGAGAGTTTTCTGTGAATGAAGTGAAAGAGAAAAATGAATAGCAGATGTTGCTGCTTGTTTTTTATTAAGAGAACTGGTGGTGGTTGGAAAAAGGAGGCAAAGACATAGAATAAACAGCTGTCCAATCAGTTCCTCAAGCTGAATATTTTTAACTATTACTGAAGATTTCTAACTAGAATCCTTGGTAAATCTAGCAAGCCAGCCTAACTCCTGAGTAGCAGTTTCTACCAAGCTCCAGTCTATATTAATGTAGAAGAGAAATCCAAAGACCTTCCTAATGTTTCATCATGCAGTTTCATAATACAGTGACTCTGGATAGATAAATTGGCTAGTTAACTAGTGTGTTGGGTACTAGTGTATGCCTTTTGTCTCCAAATTACATATTGTTTGGAAGAGTTCCTTCAAAGTTCCTTTGATGGAGAGGAGTTACCACAAAATGGGCAAAAAATATTCTGCAACCACCGAAAAAAGCATATGTAGTACTTTGGAACTCTAGAATAGATTTCAAATCACAGTAAGACTAAAAGTTATTCCCTGCTATGGCTGTTAGCTTCAAAGTTAAGGTTTTTTTTTTTTTACAGATGTACCGTTTGATTTTCATATAGTATTTTTCCATATTTATTTAGAAATACCTCACAAGAACATTCTGTTATACTTATTCAATAATGAGCATTTATAATGTGATTGAGTTTTTTTAAAGCTGTGTATTCTGCAGGGTTTAAAAAAAGTTTTTCGTATTTTATTTACATAATGTAATACATGATTGTTTCTTTGGTATTTATACAAAAGTGTACTGGTTAAAAGTTCTTTCATGTTGAGTCAAATTCCTTATGACTATTGATTTATTAAATACATTTATATCTTACTGCAATTAAAAAAAACTCCATGCTATAGACATGTGGTAGAGATATATAGGTTTTTGGAAGTAAATAATACAACTCTGGTTGCTATTGGTCTCTTCCAGAATGTTTTTGTTTAAAATTCCAATCTAGTTTCCAGCTCTGAGTTTTCCTAGTGTCTAGGTGTGTGTGTAAGTGGAATTCAGTTGTGGTTGGCAGAAATTCCTTAAGTAATAAGACCATAGTTGTGTAATCTGAGTTTTTGTCTTTAAGTCACACTTTGCTTGAAGGGTTTGTTCAGAGAATTATAGTCAGAGAATTAATCACTAACATTAAAAAAAAAAATTTTTTTGTGATATGGTGCAATTCAGAGCAGAGGCTCTTTTCCAGAAATGAGCATCTTCTATAGGTTTGATCTTACAAGTTCATTATATTCTAGAGTCTGTCATCTCTGTATATTCTTTGTTTCTAAAATTCTCAGGATTTCCAGATAACTTAATTCCAGGCATTGTCCATGGCAGAGGTCTAGAGAATAGCTCATAGAGAGAGGGCTTAGTTAATGTTGAGGAGTCTATTAGCTTGCAGCGGAGAAGGGAAGCAAATTTAATTGTAGGTGATGACACCACCAAAGCAAGTTCAATACTCACCATTTTTTCTTCCCTCTTCATCTTCATGTAGGCCCAACAGGCAGATGAGAGAATAACAAATTCCTTTGTCAGAATTCTAAACTGGCAATTACAAAAACTTAAGAACTTAATAATTGCACATCAGTTTAGCCTCAAGAAAGCAATGGGACTAGAAAGTTAGTAATCTATTATAACGGATTAGGAAGACTCTGCCATTCCTCTCATCTTCCATTCATTTTTAAGAGGTGCAAATCATCAGAGAAATTTGGCTTCCGAATAGATTTTATTTAAAGAATATTTACAGATACTTCTGCTGAGATCTCTCTCAAACCAAAGGAAGGAAGTTTGTTGTGACCTAGCTCCTGGGTCTCCTAAGAGATTGAATTAGTCTCAGGCTCTATTTAAATGAACTGGACTAGAACATAGCTTTTCTGATCTGCAGATATTTCAACAGTCCATCTACTTCTTGATGGGTTTAGATTTAGTTATGAAAGCCTGCCTCTTCCATTCCTTATTTTGTTCCATTCTAGTTCTGGCAAAACATTATTCTTTATTCTGGACCTTTGCTTGGTTTCTATGAAGTTCAGGCGTGACAAGGACTTTTTGCTGGACTCTTACATGAGTTCATAGCATTTTCTGATGAATCCATAAGGTATTTTCTGCTATGTCTCAGTTTTGTTGCCAGTTCATATTTTCCTCATGTAATTATTGCCATATTGACACTACTTTGTGTGGACTCTGCTCTATTTCAAGAGCTGTGGTGGTGCATTGGTTAGAATACAATGCTGCAGGCTACTTCTACTGACTGCTAGCTACCAGCAGTTTGGCAATTCATATCTCACTAGGCTCAAGATTGACTCAGCTTTCCATCCTTCCAAGGTCAGTAAAATGAAGACCCAGATTGTTGGGGGCAATATGCTGACTCTGTAAACCACTTAGAGGGGACTGTAATGCACTGTGAAGTGGCACATAAGTCTAAGTGCTATTGCTACTTTGAAGAGGCCACTAGATTCCCTGTTTGTGCCCTTTTTGTAAGATTGGAAGATCTCACAATTGTAATTCATTCCTTGTTTCCTAAATTCATTAAGAGATGCCCAGCTATTCAAATAAACCTTCTCTATTCTTAGTCTTAGTAAACAAATCATGGTTCTTTGTCTTGTTAACCTTTGTGCTAGACTTAGGTTTGTGGCTGGTGTCTTTTGATGATCAAACAATGCTAGATTTGGCCTTGTAGCATTTGGTTCCCCCACCCAATAATTTTAATGGTTGGTTCTACTTTGCATTATACATTGTTAAGTATTTGGGTCAAAGTCCCATCCTACTTCATTGTAAAAAAAATTCAGTACTTTAATGTTTTGAATGCACTTTGTGCTTGATTTCTGTGGAACTGTGGAATCATTATTCCTTCTTCCTAGAAATGGATGCAGTTCTGCATAATTAGGTCATGTCATGCTGAAACAATTGCATAATTTTCATCAGTTTATAGTCCTTTGTTTCTTGCCACTTTGTAATATAACAAATGTCAGATTCTAGGAAAAGTCATTTTCCTCTTGTAATTCTAGCAGATTTCCATGGATTGGATCATTATGATACCAATGGATTCTATTTCAACTTCTACTGATCCCTCTAGCGAAACTTCTGGTAAAGATCATTCTCCTATGATTTCTTGTCACCTGTTGGTCTCACATTCTATCCCTATTTAATGCAATTTTTTTTTTGATACATTGTTAGTCGTGAGCTTGTGATACACAGTTGTTCTCTTTAATAGTGATCAGATTCTTGACAGGTAGCAATGTTTCTTAATTTTTTTCCCCTTGGGACTTTTCCCTACTTCTAAATAATTACTGAGAACCACAAAAGATGTATGGATTTGCATGGGTTATGTTTATTAATATTTACCATTAAAAATTAAAATCAATGCATTTGATGGCACTACTGCTTCTCATGATTATTTTTCAACATAGGCTGACAAATAAATTTGATTTTGTGGAGGGATGCCTGGGGGGCAGGTTCCTAGCATCACTTGGAGGAGATATGTCTTGCAGGAAGTATGTCTACTTATTGGCACTATTAGGCAAAGGATTGGATTGCTGGATAGGCATGGCTTTATTAATTTAATCAATTTATTGATTGATTAATTTACCTGGCTGCCCATTCCAAGTACATGACTTTGGATAGCCAACTATAAAAAAACCAGAATGAGCTTTGTGGGAAGATCATGTTTATTTGTGGTTCATCTATGTTGGCATTTTGTTCAACCCCTGTGACATCTGGCTCAGTTATAAATTACAAACTGCATGCACTAAATTGTTCTCTTGATCTACTGTAGGTATTACCTGAACTGGCATCTGCTCCCTTATTTAAAAAGCAGCAAATAAGCACATCTAGAAAAATGTATTGAGGTACACACAACCATAAGTGATACCCGAGTGTATTAAAGTAATAGTAAAAAAAAGAAAAGAACAATAGAACAATTAAAAGGACAGTGAGAAGCATTGCGGGAGGCAAAGCCTCCAATGTGGCTAGAACTTCCATTTTTTAAGGTAGGAAAGAAACCAGGTGGGGGTTAGATAGACCTCGGCCACCACATGGAAAGAGAAACTTGAATTGCTCTCTTTAATGAATATGCATCTGATCCTGGAAGAAAAAAGGCATAGAAAAGAAGATCCAGCCCAAAAAGTAGATATGGGTTAAGGAAAAGACAATAATGATTTACTATAGAAGAGCCTGCCAAAGCAAGTTAGGTTCCAAGACTGATCCTGGCTGGTTTGACTGTTTGCTGATCTAAACTTTGTCTTCCCTCCTTTATACCTTTTCCAACATATGGGGGAGCACAAACAGCAGATGTGAAACTGATCAAGGGCCAAATTCTTGGTCAGCCATGGAAACTTAC